GGGGGAGGGGCTGCGCCCCCTCCTTCCTCCTCTTCTCTTTTCCCTTTCCTTGACTCCTACTCCTACTACTTGGAAGGGGGGGAATCCTACTCCCGGTGGGAGTAGGACTCCTCCAGGGCGCACCATAGGAGGGCCAGCCCTCCCCCCTCCTCCACTCCTTTATGTACGGGGGCAGGAGGGCACCTCTAGACACAACAATTGGTCATTGATCTCTTAGCCGTGTGTGGTGCCCCCCTCCACCATATTCCACCTCGGTAATATCATAGTGGTGCTTAGGCGAAGCCCTGCATCGGTAGCATCATCAACACCGTCATCACGCCATCGTGCTGACGGAACTCTCCCGCAAAGCTCTTCTAGATCAGAGTTCGTGGGACTTCATCGAGCTGAACATGTGCTGAACTCGGAGGTGCCGTACGTTCGGTACTTGGATCGGTCGGATCGTGAAGACGTATGACTACATCAACCGCGTTGTGCTAACGCTTCCGCTTTCGGTCTACGAGGGTACGTGGACAACACTTTCCCCTCTCGTTGCTATACATCACCATGATCTTGCATGTGCGTAGGAAATTTTTGAAATTACTACGTTTCCCAACAGTTGCGGGATTGCTGAGGTCTGTTCGTTGTTGTGAAGTCAGAATTGCGGTCCTCTCGGTGTTCTTCGCAACACCAATCTAGATATTTCTCCTTTGTACCTTCCCTCTACGCTGGAGATGCCTTGTCATCGGAGTGTGAGGTTGACTGGAAGGTCTTATAATGGATGCATATATTTCTGTTGCGGCGAGGCCTCTATGGTGGCCGTCAATGACGAAGTCGAAGTAGCTGGCTCGTGTAGAGGACTGGTGACGATGGCGCTGTGGTGCTATCCTGGTGATGTGTTTTTTCTCGGCAATGTGTGTGTGGTGTATCTTTGTGTGTGCTAGGTCGACCGATGGTGCCCCTAATGAAGATGGTTGTAAGGTGTGTCGCTGCATAAGCGACCCTCTCGTCCCCCGCATCGCCCCCCTGATGACACTTGGGAAACCCTAGATCGAGGCTCACACCCTCCTTTCCACCCTCCCCTCGGCTCGCCACCGCCGAAGGAGCGGTCAGCAAAGTTCGTGTTGGCTCTTGTGAAGGTGCCGGTGAGGCCCTTCCTATTTTTCGTTTGCAAGAATGGCGGACGGCTGCCGGACGGCGCGGCTGCTGCCATGGATGGCGTGGGATGGGGCAAAGGTGGTGTGAGGGCTTGTGTGCTCGTGAGGTAACCCTGGGCGATACGGTGGGAGGCTCGCTGCGGCGTCGGCGCACGGCGGGAGTCTGGTGGCAGCGGCACGGGCCAGGCGGTGCTCTTTCCCTGGTAGTGCTCGGTGGTGCCCCACTTCTCGCTGGCAGGGCTTGTGCGTGTTCACGACTGGAGGAGGTCGGTCGGGCCTACCTGGCGTGGTTCCACCCAGATCCCGCACACAGTGGCGCGAGCTAGTCTATTCTGCAAATCGTCGGCCTGATTTTGAGCGCGGCGGTGCGGGCCTGCTAGCTTTGGTGCATTCCGCCCAATTCCGATGAGCGGCGGCGTGGGCCGGTTTGATTTCGGCGAAGTCCCGATCAGATCCGGCATGCCTTTCTCAAAACCGCGGGAATTCGTTGGTGCTCCCGGAAGCGTGCGCTCCTGCGCGCGAAAATATTTTTTAAAATGTAAAAAAATTGCAACAAAGTACGTATTGCCGAGCTGGGGAGTTCTACTAAAATTAGTGATGTCGGTTGAGAAGACAACGTTGAGTTGTTACACCAATAGTAGACCAAATGAAACTGCCTTCTACTGTCGTTACCTTTTCTTCAGGTGCCTTTTCTATTTGTTTCAACCTTTCGGTGAGAGGTATGTCTCGTAATGTCAGTATCGCCTTTGAGTTATTGCATCTATTTAAATCTTGTTAGCCTCAAGAGATGTACGTATTTGCATCGTCTTCTGTACTATCTAAGGCGATGCCATCGTTGCGGTTCTCCTTGTCGACTGAGATATTATGTAATTTTGTAAGAGGGTTATTGATATGATGTTGAGTGCCTGCATAATTAACAAGCCGGCAGCCGTTCAACATCAGTGCATTCTTTTTCTCGAGGATTGAGGTGGTACTCCTGCTGCTACGTTGTGGCTTCACTATTATCTTGTGAGATCGGTCATCAGAGATGTGCTGCTTCCACTGTACTATCTAAGAGACTGTAGACAGTCCATGCCTTTGACAAGGCTTATGCAATGCAAGGCTTCTTGTTTACAGGAAAACATCACTGACAGATGACGGTACGCACTGCCACCAAAGACCACAGGAAGGAAGCCGCACGCAGAATTCTGATCTACCCACAAGTTGAGGCCCCTTGTTTGTTTAGTATAAAACCAGATTGGTGGCTCGTCAGATTGAGATATTCCGCTCACATCCACCTCGAACGATTCCTTTCACTTTGGTTTGCTTGCTTTCTTGGGTAAATCACAACACGGTCCGCACTTCTCTTCTCTGATGACTACCAACTTTTACAGTTTGCTTGCTGGTGCTGCCCACCGACAATTTAACGAACAGTTAGTGATACTAGCATTGCCTGCAAATTCGAGAAGCAGAAAACCTCATGAAATAGGTCTAGGGAATTAGTAGGATTTGGGACATTAGGGAATCTCATGACTTGGTTATAAGCGGGTACGTACGACCCTGGCTGGCTCTCAAGTTTCTTTGATCGGCGCCGGTTCCCGTCGTGCAATCATTCGTCCAGGGTCAACTGCTTCACTGTGAAGTGTGAACTTCCTGATGTGCGCTGTGTTTGGACTTTCGGGCAAGCAACCTTGCCAGTTCATCTTCATCCTGTCTGGCCAAGCGCCAGCTACTGGAACTACAGTAGTCAGCTCCAACCTAAAGCTTGTGCATGGATGGGCATGGTCGATCGACATGAAAGAGCAACGACGCGGAAGCACGTAGCGTACACTTGCAAGTTACTAGTAGTACAGGACACGAGTCGCGCCTGAAGACTGAACTCTCATCCCTCCTCAGCATTACATCGTCCGTGGCGCTGTCGCAGCAACCAACCACCGGACGGCGATCGCGAGACGAGCCAGCACGACCAGACAGCTTTCCTACCGCCAATGATAAGTGGCGCACTTGCTCGCGGATATAGCTCGCGCGTCCCATCTCCCGGCCCCGGAGTGCGATTTCACAGAAGGTGGCATCATGATTGCGTTTCTTCGAGGCTACGGCAAGATTTCCACTTGCGAGCACGAATTAATTTGCATCTCCAGCGATGTCCGGTAACAGTTGACGGTTGGCCGTTGCATCAGGTACAAGTAATTAATTATGGGTCACGCTAACTGTCACACGTGTGGCAGGAAGGAAAACGCACCACACGTCTCTAATGTAAACAGATTGCCACGTCATCGCATGCATGCATGCAGATCTTTTTGGATTTTCAATTTTTAAAATGTTTTATCTCTTAAGCGAAAAATCCGATTGAAAATCCGTTTTCACCATTAAATCCCTCGCGATGAGATTTTCGAAACTAGATCCACATGTTGATATGTTTTGATGAATTTTTTTTTTGATTAAAAGTTGCCATGTCTATTGCATATGAATTGTCATGATGTTTACACTGAAGTTGCCATGATATGTTTCAGCTATTTTCTTCTACATTTAAAAGTAATTTTTGACATTTATAAAACGGGGAATTAAGAAACTAGACTTGTCATGAACCATAAACTAAAATTATCATGATACATGCACGTAAAATTGCCATGGTTCATACAAAAAATAATTTTCATGATCAAAGTACTGGAGTTGCCATCATCAAAATACTAAAATTGCCATGATCTACAAACTAAAATTGCCACATGGCAATTTTAGTTTAAGCCCTATGGCAACTGCAGTGTAAACATCGTGGCAACTTCTGGTAAAAAAATCGTCGAAACATATCAACATGGGGTCTAGTTTTGAAGATCTCGTCGAGACGGATTTAATGGTGAAAACGGATTTTTAGTTCGCTTTTTTATTTAGGAGATACAACATTTTTAAGCCAAAAACTAAATTTTTTTTTACTGATGTCATCTATTCATACGTGGCAAAATGAGTCGTGATGGAGGCGTGTGAGCGATGTGCAAACACCCACACGTGTGGGCGTTAACATTTCCGTTAATTATATAACTCCTCGCAAAATAATACAGTAATAACTAATTAACAACTTGAACGTGGCTCCTGTAAATAAATCCATGTAGTGATCGTGCGAGATAGCGTCAACTGCGAAACGATGTGAGGCCGCCGACAGGCATGTGTCACCGCGATGCATGCAACCTGCACGCGACCAACGTGATGGCCGCTCAACAAGAGGAGGAACCGCGACAGCCGCCAACAGGATGCGTCCAAAGCCGCGGAATTTGCAGCTCACCGCCCACAAGCATTGGCGGCTTGGCGCTGTCAGCTGTCCGACACGAATAAACAAAGCGCACAGTGAGGCGCCGAAGGCACCCAGTTTGCGGCCAGGCGTGCACCGACGAGGCGCCGGACGCACAGCACGCGGCCACGACACCGCGACTTCATCGACCACGACGGCTCCCAACCGCCGCGGCTAAGCAATGCCATGCCAGCCACCGGGACGGTGAGCTGCAGGAGAATCCGCTGAAAAAGCCGCGTTCCCACTGCGAGCGCCCATCGCAGATCCCGCGCTCCCCCGCGTTCCCACTCGTCCCACCCACTCGCAACCATCCGCCACGGCGCCCACGTAGGATTCGATCCCCACGTCAGTGTCCAGCGCGGCCGAAACGTCGGCTGCGGCTTTTCCCCGGACGGTACTGCCACCCCCGTTCGCTCCAAGCCCCCGACTATATATCCGCGCCTCTCAGACCAGCTGGTCACACAAAGACCACCTAATCTCTCTCTGATCTGGAAGCAGAGGCAGCGCCGGAAGCAGCAGCAGCTAGCGACACACAACAACTACAGCAAGCACACAGCAGGAGGAAGAAGAAGGCTCTGCAGTTCTACACTTCTACTTCTACACGTATGGGCAACTGCGCCATCACGCATCAGGCCACGTCGTGGGCGGACGACGGCGAGTGGGAGCTGCCGTCGCCCGGCGACGACGACGAGGGGCGCGCGGAGCAGAGGAAGGAGCACGTCAGCGAGGTAACCATCCGTATCAGCAAGCGGCAGCTGCAGGAGCTGGTGGACAAGAGGGCCGCCGACGACGGGCACGGTCACATCTGGAAGAGCGGGCGGTCGGCGTCGGAGCTTCTGGTCGACATCATGAACGCCGGGGAGGTCCACCACCACGTCGAGCACTGCAGGGCGGCGCACTGGAAGCCCGCCCTGCAGAGCATCCCGGAGGCGGTGGAGTCGTGACGCTACGCCCAGTGACGCGTCCCGGCCATGGCTTTCGCCGGGCTTGGGTTTCTCCTCTCTTTCTTGGTTGCTTCTCCGCCGTGTCTTTTGTTAGAACACAGCTTTTACGCGGCCTTTCTGTGTCATTCTTTGGTTTGGATCCAACGAACAATGTATATTGGTAGGGAAAGTGGTGATACACACCACGGTGATGTAAATTGTAAAGTAGATCGATGTTCTTCTGTCCATACGGCTTTTTGTGTGTGGAACAAACCAAGCATTCTCAGTTGATCTGCTGTTTTGTGTGTGTGTGGAACAAAGCAAGCATTTTCACTTGATCCGCTGTCCAAAAACACAGTACAGACGAGCTTACCAGGAAGAGGAGGAAGAAGAAACCTGCAAGGGACCATAGCCAAACTTGGAAACAGATCAGAACAGAAGCGATTCCATATGCCCAGCAAGGGCTGCAAAGCCAAGTTATGTTCCACTAAAAAAAACCAAGTTATGCAATGTGATTATGA